ATTGAAGTAAATACTTATATATTTTGGAATTATTTTGTAAGATTCTGCTAAGGAAACGTTATTTTAGAGTTTTTATATTCCCTCCAAAAGGTTCATGACGTCATCTAAAAAGTGATCAAATAAATGTTTATTCAAAAATATACAATGTTATTTGTTACTAAGATGTTACCGTGTACGTATTAAGCTTAATCCATCTCTATTTTTATGTTGATATAGAATAATTGTATTAAAAAACGTTTGCAGAGTTACATTTTACAATTTATCGAAGAAACTATGTAATCGACTTTTCTGACTGAATTTTCCCTGTGGCCTTGTTACCGTTGAACAATCATTCTAACATTACACATTGTACAAATAATTCTAAATCCGTAAAACTGGAACAACATCACAGGCTCCAAATTGCTTCGTTATTCCTTTATTTATTTACAGTTTACTGCACCTCTTCAGGGTTGCGAACTGATTTTTTTCGTTGAATAATTAGCAGCGGATATAGTGGTATTCATCTAAGCAGATGTCTTTGTATAAACCGGTGGTTTCCAAACTTTTTTCAAAGGAGACCTTCTTCTGACAATATGCTTTGCGATCCGCTATCATCGCAACTTGTGTGGTGTTAGCTATTGAGCGCAATATATCGAATATTTGGGTATTTATTATTTTGTTACAAATATTATATTATAATTTAAATAAAAGCCAGTGGTAAAAAAAGGCGCCAGACTCACAGTTTTAGAAAAATACGTGATGACATGTTTTCTGTATTATGTAAATCTTCTTGAACGCAGAAGTCTGTCTTCGAGGGATAACGTATTGAAAAGCATTTTCCAGTAAAAAGCAGACCTTTTGATGTACTTAAACGAAAAATCCGAATACGGGAACCTATTTTCTCATTTATTAAAAAAAAACTAATTTATGGTCTAGTTCAATTGGGAAAATAAATTTAATTCATTCCAATGCGCTCAAGAATTCTTGGAAGTGCAATTATTTCCCTAAAGAATTTAGGTAGTAATTAATTACATGGATTAGATGGATACTGAATCAGTTTTAAATAATTCTTTTTTATTTAAAACAAGTATTTCACTAGAGGTAGTAAAGTTCAATTTTACTACCAAGGTTAAAAAAGAAGATTGAGGTTATGTATAAAATATTTGATGTAATTATTTCTTAAAAAATCAATGAATCTGTGCTACTAACATCACTTGAGTATACGCATGGTAGTTGGCAGACAGTGGGAGATAAAATGATTAATTCAGCGACAAGTATAAACGGTTTTCTTTGTGTTGAAGATTTAGGTTAAGTTTACGTCAAAAAATGTATTAAAACTTATTTTTTCAATTTGTTGTCTTACGGTTTCTACTAGTGCTGCGCGTCTTGGGTTCTAATTCCGCTCAGTCTAGAATGATTGTCTTCACAACCTTGGTTAATAATATACTATTAGTTGCGCTTAGCTAATTGTAGACCTTAAGTACGATCTTATCAATTTCAATTTTGAAAAACTTCTTTCACATGAAGCCACCGAAACAAATGGTTAAAAAAATCTTAGACAAAGTCCTTACTCGGAATACACTCAGAATAGCCTCATTTGATGATGTATCTGCAAAGCTCCAATGTAGTCCACTGAACTGTTTCTTGGGAGGAAATGCTGGCGGATTCCAAGTGGCACCTCAGTCGTAAAATTTCCAAAATTATGTCCTCTGCAAAACATTCATCGTAGATTTTTGTCAACCATTCCATGAACATCTTTTTTGATGACGGTAGCATTGGAATTTATAAACTTACCGTTGTAGTTGCTGTTTCCGCTGACGTTGCTTTTTGAGAGCTGAAAATTGTCATTTATAAACTTGCCAAGTTGCCGTTGGTAGTAATTTTGATGTTCAACTTTTGCCGCATTTAAAGGGGTTGTAGAAGGAAAGTGCAGGATTTCAATTGATTACTACAAAAATTTACCATTCTAGGCATGGTTTAAGTTTCTTGTTGTTGAAATAAGTCTACACATACTAAGAAAAAACGGCAAAATGTATCCCCACCCACCCACCCGATCTCAATTGTGATGATTTTTTTTATTCGTCGTGAGACAAGGGGACGGAGCTTAATTGCAAAATCCTTATTTCTCTACGAGAAATTACAAACATGTTTTTGAGCATCGTGTTCAAAGAATACTATCTATACACATTAAGAAAAAAACAAGCCGAAGATTAGGCTCCACCCATACCCGCCCCGATCCCAATTCCCAATTGTGATGAATTTTTCATTCGTTGTCAGATCGAGGGGCGGGGCTTAACTGCAAGATCGATATTTGTTACCAAGAATTTCCCATTTTAAACATGTTTAAAGTTTCTTGTTCTGAAAAGACAACTACGTGTATTAAGAAAAAAGGCAAAATGAAGCCCCGCCCACCCGCCCTGTTTCTATTGTGATTATTTTGTTATAATCGTCGAGAGTCAAAGGAGCAGAATTTAAATGCAAAATTTTTATTATTTCTCTCTCTACAAGAAATTCCGATGTAAGACATTTTTTTGAGTATGGTGTTATTCAAAGGATACTTATGCACATTATGAAAAAATTAAAGCCAAAGACAAAGCCCCACCCATAACTGCCCTGATCTAAATAGTAATGAAGTTTTCATTCGTTGGTAAACCAAGGGGCGGAGCCTAATTGCAAAATCCATATTTTCTTACAAAAATTTACCATTTTAAACGTGTTTTGAGTTTCTAAAAATAAAAAAAAGTAATCACAATTGAGATCGGGCGGGTGGGCGGGGTTTATATTTTGCCTTTTCTTCTTAATATACGTTGTTTTCTTTGAACAACACGATTCTTAAAAACATGATTTTAATTTCTTGTAACGAAATAAGTATTTTGCAGTAAAACTGAGTTTTCTTGCTTCAGGACGAATGAAAAAAAATCATCACAATTGAAATAGGGCGGGTGGGTGGGTTTACATTTAATTTTTTTGTTTTAATATGCGTAGACTTCTTTTCACAACATGAAACTTAAAACATGTTTAAAATGGAAAATTTGTATTGGGAAATATCGATTTTCCAATTAGGCTCCGCCCCATAATTGCAAAATATTAGAAAGTATTGTAATGAAGTCCGTCGGCCGACTCTCTACTTTTACATTTTCTCGACCTTTCATGACCCCTAGAGTGCGAAGAAGTGGATCTGCCGTTTCCGTCTGTATGTCTGTTCGTCTGTCCGTCTGCTGTCCCGATTTTTTTTTGTATAGTTTTGGAAACATACTTGTGGAAAAGTAGTCATGATTATATCATTATTATTATTGTTATTATTAATAGAAATAACTTAACAGGCTAAGCTCAATTAATAAGTTAATTTAGGTATTGTAATATAAACAATTAAATATAGATAATGCATTCACATATACCTACTCAAACACGCATGCCCACACACAGATAAGTATCATCTAACAACATTCAATGGATAGCAGCCAAGTTTTTCCTTAATATTTGCATAATTGTGGATTGCTTGATAAAGTGGTGACATTTTTGTAATATTTGAATTTGGAAGAGGAATGCCGAAACAGCTTTTACTTGTTGCAGTACAGCGAGGTACTCGAACTTACAAAAGAATAATACAGAATGTTTCACTTAGTGTTTCGTATAACAAATCCTAAGGATTTATAAGCAGGTGAGATTATGTTTTCTATATGTCTGGGGAAATTTAACTTTGTATCAAAGATTACGCCCAGATCACGAATAGTTCCTAGTTTCTTTAAAATATTATTGGAGATATTATACTAAAAGTTTGCAGTCTCCAGTTTACTTGTGTATGACATAGCAAACTAGGGGATCATTTGATAACATTTTGGAGGTTGTTTTGGAGTTCTATACAACACTGATTTCTTCAATTTTCGAGAATATCTTTAAATCATCTGCTTACATTAAATATTTATGTTACATTATTTGTGATATAAATCTAAAATTTGGAAGTTTCTCAATAAGAACATTATCATTTATTGTATCGAACTCTAGAAAAGTCCATGTAAAGACAATCAACCGGTCCATGTTCATCGAGAACATTGGATAAGTATTTGGTTTTTATAGTTAAATTTGTTACGGTAGATTTTCTCTTTACAAATCCGTGTTGAGATGTAGAAATCGTTTCTGATATGTGAGAGTAGATGACACTAGAATTGCAGAAAAATTTTCCCGAAATTCTTGTTATAGTTATAGGCCTGTAATTGAAAAAGTTAGCTCCATGACCGGACTTAAAAACGGGGTTAACACGGGATTCGTCCCAAAATTCGGCAAGACGTAAAAATCATATTAAAAGCAGCTGTTAACGGTTTTGAGAACATAGTCCCATAGTCTGTAACGAGAAATGAAGGTATTAAGTCAAGCCCAACTGTTAGGGTTATTTTTAGTTTACGTAATGCAATTTTCCTATTTTGAAAAACTTTTCGCAACTCTTTTGGGGGTTGCGACCCACACTTTTGGAGTCGATGTTCTAAGAAAGTTGAGAAACTACGTAAGGAACTTCTTTAATATATTCCGTGTGTCCTTGTTATCCTTTTGAACAATCATTCTAATATTACACCATAACTCTTATCCGTAAAATTAGAACATCTGAGGCTCTAAATTGTTTCATTAGTCCTTTTGACATGAGCTTCTTACAGCTTATTGCACCGTCAACGACTGGAGAATCGAGTTCTTTCTAAGCTGAATTTTTTATTACAAATAATTAGCAGCGGATATAGCGGTATTAGTGCGAAGTAGATTTCTTTCTATAAACTGACGTTGCATTAACCCAATCACGGTAATTAATTATTCACCGACCTTATAGTTCGCATGCAACACTCTTAAACAAGACACAATCTGCGAACGTCAATTTATGAAAGTAAATTATGCATATCCTATAAAATTTATTCGTGGGAAGCATATCGATTTATAGGCCAAATCAATGTTGACTCTCAAAGCATCACGTTACATTTTAATATAGAAATATTGTTATACATAGAACGTTCTCACAAAATCATTTTCTTTTCAAGCTCCCCGGTTGGACGTGGATAACTTAGAAAACGGCTACCATGGCCTCGTCAAAGAGAACGAAACCCTCGTGGAGGTGACGCCTGCGATACGAGCGATCGGCGAGCAAGTCTGCAGTTTTCGCATCGTGAATAAACACCACGGCGAAGCACCGTTCGAGATCATCTCGAAAGAGGACGGCTACGCCGAATTGAGGGCACGGAGGGTCCTCAACTGCGAGAAAAGGAGGAATTACAAGTTCGACATAGCGGCTGTGGGCTGCAACGGCAAACAGAGCGTCAGGTGAGAAACAGACGAAAGATAAAGATAGATGCAACAAGGACGGATGCCTAATTGTGCGAGTAAAGAACTGAGTCCGGTGTTATTTATAGGCGGCCTTGGGTCCTTAAAGAGAGTGATAATGAAAAAAATTGTAATTGAATCTGGTCGGATAAGGGGAGAGTTGTTGCGTAAGAATCGAGATGGGTTAATTAAGGATTGGGTGTGAAATTGGCGTTACGCTGGGGTGGTGGCGAATGTGTGGATGGTGGCGGAAATTGATTATTTAACAAAGAGAAATACGACAAAGATAATTATTTAACCGTAAAATGTGCATAATGTTCGCTCTCCGGTTATCAGTTGTTGTTAATTACCATGCTTGGTTGGAAGCTCAGGTACAATGTTAGTTAATTTGAGTGGCGTGGATCGCTTACAAATTATTTTTTCACAGTTATTTAAAAACTTTTACAATATGTACACATTGCAAAATTTAACAAACGTATTTTCTGTTTACATCCCTGCAATTTTTTCTATGCTTTCTTTACAACCAATGCAAATCCAACGCAGTTGCACAAATTTTATTTTTTAAGTTCGCAGTTAAAACAACCTAAAAATAGTTGTTTGTTTCATTTCTGAAAAAAAAAAATGCGTGTGGAGTGGTTGGACGACGCGAAATCGAGTCCAGCGATTTTACGAGCACCGAAAATGTTCTTTTGTACGAATAAAATGCATTTTTTTAACTTCTTTTAATTACCAGATTCCATGACTGCGGATTATTTAAAACAAAACAAAATTGACAATAAATTTTAATTGAACCAATTAAACTCGAACACACTATTTTGCAAATTTAATTGTTATATTAAAAGCTGTGCATATTGCAGATCATGCAATTATTGAACTGAGTGAGTGCAGCTAGTTGATGGCATTAATATCTAAAAAATTTTGACGTTTCTGGCATTCTGTAAATGATTCATCTATGTCGCTTTCAGAAGATTGCGAGCCTCTTTAAATCCGGTAATTAACACCAGCATTGTGGCTAATGTTCGCCGTAAACAATGACCAGTGTAGTCTTTTAATAATATTTAATGGTAACAAGCAGTAATCCTTGAACAGTGAATGATAATTTATGCATGCCTACGATTTATCTGGGGTATCTCCCATTTTGGTGCTTGATTTATCCGTATTAGTCGGACGGAGAGCGATTTGTTTTCGATGCAGTTTTATGCAGTCGTCGTGTATAACTGTTTTTCGTTTTTGTACCAGTGCGGTTTTTAATTTGCTCTTGTTGTAAAACTTCATTGCTGAATCTTCGTTGGGTTGTAGTGATTCTGTTAATCCAAAAATGATAAAAATATCGGAGGGATACAAACACAGTATAAGTAATTAACATCGGCTTCATATCTTTCGTTGTTAAATAACAAACTCTTGTATTTGTGCTTTATGAATTTACCTTGAATTTGTTTGTATTACAATTATTATGTAACATTTTTCGTAGTAAAGCGGGTCTTTAAATAAATAATACCACGGAATGTACTGCTTACGCAGTCGATACATGTTTGTTTTAAATTATAAGGATTATTTTAATTTTATAATTTTTCAAAAAAAAACTAAATTTGTTGGTTTTTAAGGGGGTGTAAATATTCTTAGGCCAATTTTTTTTATATTCAGAAAATACCTTTTTTTATTACAGAATGCTAAGAAATATTTTTTTGCATTCAGAAAATTAACAAGCTCTCAAACAAGCGGAAATCGTCGTAAATTGTGACTATCGGCCGTTTCCGCTGCCTTTTCTGAATTTTCTTTTTTTAGAATAATGCGTTTGTATCAATGTAAACCTTAACAAACAATCCACTGCATGTTTTGATATTTCGATCTGTATGGTTGTGGTGACACCTTATTTACAATTGTTTATGCAGAATGACTTAAAAATTATTGGTTTTTTACTTTATTGATTAAATTTTTATTTTTTTTATTTTGATTTTTTAAATTTATTGATAAAAATTGATTGAAAGTAGTCTCCCGTTTCCGCCTGTCTTTATCAATTTTTGTTAGGCACGTATCCTCCGAAACTGCGGGACCGATTGTTGTCAAATTTTATATGTATGTTAGATATATCATATACAAAATTTGACTAATTGTCTCCACCAACAATTTGATCACCTCATCTCAAGGAACCGTATTTTAAAATGATTTTTGAATATTATTTGAGTATTTGTAGTATGCGAATCCGCTTTCAGTTTCTTCGCTAAACGTTCAATTTTTTTTGGAAAATTTTTGGAAATTTTGATTTCACTTTTCGTGTTTATTGGAACAGATATCACATTGGTGGATGATTATCTATAATTTGACACCAATTTTCGGTCGATTGAAGCAAATTTAATCTTTTTTTTTTGGAAAGTTTTTGAAAATGTATTAATTTTTCGTGTTTATTGGAACATATATCGTTACGAAGATTTAATATTTGTTAACTGGCAAAAGATTATATGCAGTTTGACACAAATTTTCTATCGATTGAACCCATTGTAGCCAATTTTTTGAAAATTTTTTGGATATAATGATTTCACTTTTCATTGTGTGTTCAGATTTGTAACTGGCGGAAGATTATCTACAATTTGATAACAATTTTCGGTCGATTGAACAAACCATTTTTTTCGAAAATTTTTGAAAATTTTGAGTTGACTTTTCGTGTTTATTGGAGTAGATATCGTAACGGCGATTTTAGATTTGTAACTGGGGGAAGTTTACCTACAATTTGACTCCAATTTTCGGTCGATTGAATAAATTTTAAGCATTCTTTTGGAAAATTTTTGAAAATTTTGAGTTCACTTTTCTTGTTTATTGGAACATATATCGTAACAGAGATTTCGGATTTGTAACTGGCGGCAGATTATCTACAATTTGACTCCAATTTTCGGTCGATTGAACCAATTTTAACTAGTTTTTTGGAAATTTTTTGAACATTTTGAATTCACTTTTCTTGTTTATTGGAACAGATATCGTGACAGCGATTTCAGATTCGTAACTGGTGGAAGACTATATACAGTTTGACGCCGATTTTCAGTCGATTGAACTCATTTTAGGCATTTTTTTTTATTTTTGGAAATTTTGATTTCACTTTGGGTGCTTATTGGAACAGATATCGTGACGGCGATATCGGATTTGTAATTGGCGAAAGATTATCTACAATTTGACACCAATTTTCGGTCGATTGAACACATTTTAACCGGTTTTTTTTTGGAAATTTTAGAAAATTTTGTATTTACTTTTCATGTTCATGGGAACGACGATTTCAGATTTGTCACTGCTGGAAGTTTTTTTACAATTTGACTCCATTTTTGGTCCATTGAAGCAATTTTAACAAATTTTTGGGAAAATTTTTGAAAAGTTTGAATTCACTTTTCTTATTGATTGGAACAGATGTCGTGACCGCGATTTCAGATTCGTACTTGGCGGAAGATTATATACATACCGTTTGCGACTGATTTTCAGTCGATTGAACCCATTTTAGCCGTTTTTTTTTCAACTTTTTTGAACATTTTGAATTCACTTTTCGTGTTTATTGGAACATATTTCGTAACTGGCGGAAGAGTATCTACAATTTTCCGTCGATTGAAGCAATTTTAACCATTTTTTTGGAAAATTTTTGAAAAATCGAAAAATTACAAATCGAAAAATTGAAAAATCTAAAAACTGAAGAAAAGAAAAATAACAAAATCGAAAAATTGCAAATGGAAGAACTGAAGAGATGCAAAATTGAAATATTGAAAAACTAAAAATCGAGAAAGTTAAAAATCGAAAAAAAATTAATGAATCAATAAATTGGAAACAAGGAAAAATGAATCGAATCGAAAAATTGGAGAACCCAATACAAAGGAAACGATAAAGATAATATTGAAACATCGAGAAATTGAATAAATGAAAAAGTTTTAAAATCCAATAATTGAAAAACGGGAAAATTGGAAAAAAAAAGAAAATAGAAAACCCCAGACGAAAATTTGAAGAAATGAAAAATTACAGAATCGAAAAATTGAAAAATAAAAAATTGAAAACTCGTGAAATTTTAAGTAGAAAAATTGAAAAATGTAAAGTTGAGAATTCAAAAAATTGCAAATCGCGAAACTCAAGAAACAAATAAATTAAAAATTGAAGAATTGAAAAATTCAAGTCCAAAAAAGCTGCAGGAGTGTCTGCCACTGATTTTAGCTTCATGTAGGTTATAAAAAACAAAAAGTGCAAATTTTTTTCATAATATTTGAAAGGAGCGCAATTTGTTGGGTTGTAGTTCAGGGGTGAGGGAAGTTCTTTCGAAATTACTTTCGACCAATTTTTTTCAATTGAAAAACTTGACAATAGTATAGTGACGATAAGAACAAAGGACCTTATTTGCTATTCTCAATTCAAGACGGTTAAGACAAGTTACATGTGATTTTAAATGCTATTATTTCATGTAGTTGCTACTGCATATAAAGTATTTAAAAAGTATGAAAGTGACAAATTTCAGCTAGTATTTGTGTTTTTAATCAAGATAGTTGCGGCCATAATAGCCAATAAAAATTTGTGAATTGATTTCTGTTTATTCGCCTCATAGGTATGATGGAATGTAATAAAAATTTTATTACCTCATGCAGTAAAGTGGCACTTTTTCGTGATTGATTAAAGTGCTTGTTCATTAAACAGTCGTTAAAAGAAAACAAAAAGAAAAATAATTCCTGGAAAGTATTTAAAATATGCGTAACTGTTCACAATAATAGAAAACATGTTTTTTGTAGAAGGGGTTTAGGTGTTACTAGACGTTTGAGGTTTATCGCTACTGGTAAAACACTACAAGATATTCTTGTCTACCTATCTCCCTCAAAATATTTTTTAATGGTTGAAATCTGACTAGGTATTAATATTCCACCAAAAGTGTACATATTTTGATCTTCGGGTCTGCCATAATATAATTAAATCGAATTGTTTGTGAATTTTCGTAATTTCGATAAAAAAATTTTCTGGCTGCCTGTTTTTAAATTCGAAGGATTCTA